TTTATTACTGCGATATTGGGATCATAAAACGATTCTTAAATCAGTTGAGTTCCAAAAAGAATACTTTTTGTTAACATTCTTGTTTGTGATGTCATAAGGTCTCAAAAGGTCTTTTTTCACAGGAAATTGTTGTTTTAACATTTACCTGTACAGGGCGCATTTTGAAACGAAGAGATACATCCAATCATCTACTCGAATGTGATGGGTCGACTAATAGAGATAGCTGAGATTAACGCTCAGCGAGAGAATCGTTGCTGACAATTTTTCCAGGCATGTAAGCAAGGGCAAATGGGTTGATATCCAAACAATAGTTAGGCGGATCGTGCTCAACAAGGTACAAGATAATAAAAATAGGCTAACGAACCAACAATATATTTTTACTTGCTGGGTTGTATATACATAGATAACAATGTATTCAGGGTATTAATAAAGTATGCAGACAAACTTTAACCATCGAATCTTTGGTCAACTTGATGACTAAATGTTCATATGAACATGGGTCCGTAATGGCTTTCTTTTCGAGCTAAAGCACTATCACTAAAGAAACACGAGTAATGTTCCAAATATTTCCATGAATAATGAAACGTATTTACTGAACAGTTGGTATAACCTATGATAAATATTGCATGTTGCTGAGGCTTAATATGAACGTGGATGAAAATAGTATTATCCTGTATTTTTGGAAAAAATGTATTTATAAGGCCAATAGTTTTGAACAGTAACATTCGAATAGAACGACAACAATAGAAATAGCTTTTTTTACAATAAATGTTCAAAGTGGCCGCCTTCGACTTCAGTACAGGCAGTATAGTCAGACATGACTAATTAAAAGTATTGCGATCAAAACAAATCAATGTCATGCTGTTTTTTCAAAAATTATCCGTATCAACGTACATGGAGGGTCTGAAAATAACTGTAAATCATGTGATATTCACCACAGGGCATATTTAATTAAAATAAAATAGGTCTCATTATCACAACAATATCATCATTTCTTTTAGTGCTAATATGATCTAGATTGAAAACAAAGCCGTTGAGGACCCATGCTCATATGGAAATTTCGTCTTCAAATTGACCAATGATTAGATGGTTAAAGTTTGTCTACATACTTCATTAACACCCTGTAGGTATGACGGTGAGAATACGATGCTATGAAAACTACCCACTATGACCAAACGCTACAAGCATCGTGGATCTATAGCGAATGACTGAGGTGCTTTAGTTATTGACCAGCACTTCTGAAGAATCTCACACTTTGGACAGGAAACAGGAAAAAGTAATCTGTTGGGCTATCCTGCCTGAGAAAGGCTATAAAAGTGTTCTCCTGTCAAAAAAAAGCGGGAAGAGAATTTCTCTGTTGTTCTTTTCGCCCCAGTAACGGTGCATCTTAAACAGGGACTTTCAAAGTAGTAGGGAGCTAATTTTGATGTCCAATCCATTTAACCGCCCGTCTTAAACGACAGATAAATTATCCACGCCGCAAGTTAGGCAGGATACTTTTAACGCAAACGGGTTAAAAATAATAGATTACCGTTCGAAATGCGATAAAAAGGCTACCGACTACCAAGTGAAATTTATCGCTTCGCTATTTTGGATGCCCGGCACGCTGTAAATTGTTTTTCGTTTGAATTTCTAGGATTGTTTTTCGCTAAATAATGGCCGTGGTTGTCTCTGGGTCGAGACATTCTTGGCCGCCTCCTCAAAAGAAGGCGATTGATGGGATCTTCAATTGTTGAACTCATTTGCTGGTTTGCTCCAGAAAACAAACTGGGAGATGTGTGATTCTATTTAGAAAGAACAATGGAAGCGATAGTTTGATGATTGACTCTTGCATATGGTGGAATCTATTCAATATGATGGAAGTTCTTTTAGAAAACAAATTTTGTATAACAACATTTTTTTCATACTTCAAAGCTTGTGCCCTACGCAACGGATCGTGGAACAACACTCTGACTTATCAGAACATCTGTTTAAGTTCAACCAATAGTCAAAACCTGAATTGTGAGTTCAGTATTCGTCTCTGTCTGTTAGGGAGATCCGTTTTTCTTTGCTCGAAAGGTGAGATGTGGTTACTCAGCTACCGGGCAAGTTCAAAGGAAGAAGGAAGGAAATAAGATGAGAGCCATAAATCTAAGTGTCACTTTTATAGACCTTCTTTGAGGCTTGCTTGAGTAGCATTAGAAACAACGGGAGCGTTCAGCCAAAGTAAAGCGGTCCAGCAGTTCAGCGCTTCTAGCCTGAACAGAGTTAGCCTTGGAATAGCTTTGACATGAATTAACATACTACCAAATCAGACAGCAAACTGAAAATTGCTGTCGAACTGACAAAGTTATCCTATGGTTACCGTTATTCAGCATAAAGGTGCTGTACCGCTGCACCGCTTCACGTTGACTGAACGCACCGAATGAAACACTAAAGTTTCCTTAAGAAACATTCAAAGAAAGATTCAACATTTGCATTTCACAGTATGCTATAACCGCTACCACCACAGGCTGTCTTCGATGTCACAAAGATTTTTTGCTGGTCGTATCTATTTAGCATTTTGATAATAAAAACTTGCGATGGTTTGCGATTTTTTGTGCTGAATATTACTAGATCCAAAATAGTAATGCCTTTGCCTTGAGAACTTCATAGCAAATATCGATTTCATAATGCGCGAATTTTACTGAATACAGGGAACCAGAATTGAAGCTGCTGCTTGTAGAGCAAAAATTATTGGACAATATCAAACAAAGATAAGTCAAAAGTATAGTCTCTATGAATGAATTTTGCATTTTCGCGCAATGGTGGCTGCCTATGCTATATTCAGTTTAATGGCAGTGACGTCCGATTTTGTTCCCGCTAGGCAGCGCTTGTGTGGCTGGAGGTCACAGCTGTCAAACTAAGATGACAAAAATACAGATTTGATAGAAAGGTAAGCTATTATTCAAGCTGATCGATAACTGAAATACTTGATCATAACCTTAAATATGACGGATGTCACCCCCAGCCTAACTAGCACCATCAGCTTTGGTACAAGAAAATAAATCATCCAAAACTTATCATCATATAGTAATTCGATACAGCCAGCAAAGAAATACCTTTCTGACATCGACAACAGTCCTTGGTGACATTATAGCCTTCTGTGAGATGAGAATGTGAAATATTGTTTCATTGTTGTCGCACCCTCTACTAGTACGACTATTTCTACACTTGCCACCATCACTGTGGCGCGGCGTGGTCGCGTAGTCGTCCTACCGTCCAGTAGAGTGCGCGACATCTCCCTGTTAACAGTAACATGGCTGGGTTAAGGAACAAGTTTTCTTTGCACGGTACTCAATTAAATAGATTATCTAATTGTCGTTTGTTGAAGAATAAGCATTCTTTAATTTTATCTATGTTTTCAAAGAATTTATTAAGCATAATTTTGAACAGCAATGGTGAGTTATTTTTAAATAAAATACTCAGTAATGCCGTCATGTCAATCCGTGTTTCGAGTAGGCCACGAATCCTTTTTGAATCCACGAATTTGCGACTATATGCAGATGCTTCTTTTTGATTGGTGGAATTTGCGTCAACTTTTGAGTCCGGACATAAGTGAAAAATAGGTTTTCACAGCTGAATCATGTTATATATGAAGTACTTCTTGATTTAATATGAGAACTAAGAGCCTATCTTCCACAAATCGTAAATTTTTTCCCGAGTTTGTGAGACAAGAAATCGACCAAATTCATTAGATCCATTACTTCACAGACGCCTTCCCATCGGTCCATTTGCGAAATAGGCGCAAATGTTGATCTAGCGAGTCAATAGCAAACTCGGGCCTAAGACCATGAATGAGCCGCTCTTCAGCTAAAGATAACCAAAGCACTTCAGAATTGATGAAACCTACGCTACGTCACTGCAGTCCACACACGTCGTCCGTAGGTGTAAGGGGGCGTAAAGCGCGAAAAACTGCGAGTAAAATCGCCGTGTTGGTCGAATAGATAGAAGGGAACGTAGACGTTCGCCCGAGAGGTCTCCCCGATACCTGATGGTCCATAAATTCACCACAGCGGAGAACAAATTTTGCCCGACACTACCACGATGACAGATCATATTTATGGTCACCGTAACTTATCATAATATCGTTGGAGAGCCGAGAGTGTGTGACTGTCTGTGTGTGTGTCACCTTTCTAAAATTCTAACCGGAATCTCTTCACTTAATCATACGCGAATGGATATTTTCACGTATGATATACATTCGTGCCTATTTGGATAGTTTGGTAATGGTGTTTCCGCCTTTCAAAAACGTGGTACCCAATGTTTGCAACAGTAAAACGGTCGAAAACTCTCCATCACGCCACAGCAAATGAGAATCTAGGATGAGTTTAAACCAATTAGCGGATGACCTTGTAATTCAGAAGGAAAACTTTTGGGTCCTTGGTAGTTGTGAAACTAACACAAGAAATGTGTGGGCTTACAAACAACATTTGTTTGAGCAGTGCCTTAACCCATTCGCAGCATTGTTCCAAAATTGGAACACGCGATATTTTGGGATGTAGTTGAATAGATGGAGGCACAAGTATTAATCAGAACCATTGTTAGCAATTCACAGCATCGGGAGCACCTGTTTTCAGTAAACTTTTTAGGTTATATTACGGCAGTAAACATACCAGTGCAGCTAGGTTATTTTATTTTTAAAACAATTTTTTGTGTTATTACTGGCGCGTAAACAATACAAACTGCTGAAAAATTGAAGTTCTCTATAAACAGAAGCAAGGTCTGGCTATTGTTTTATTGGTAAGTTTGAGTAAAATAAGTATCTTTTCTCATTTGTACCTTCTATCGTCACATTTTGTTATGTTCCAATAATGGAACATGGCTACTTCTATTCCACTTTTGTATTTATTTTAGGTTATGGATTGCAAAACCTTTTACGGAAAAAAATCCACCTGTTCAACCAGTTTGAACCGACTCATTGACAAACTGCAAGAAGAGCACTTTGAATCAGCTAACATATATATACTATAAGTCCACCAATGGAGGATTCTGAGGGCGACTCTGAAGCCTCAGGAAATGAAAATGAAGGGGATTTTTGTGAGAAATTTTCTCAAAAAATATTAGGTGCACCAGCTGAAGCTACTCTTGTATCACATGGCAGTAAGCAGCATCAAGAATCCAGCAGTGATGACGATGAGCCTTTAGTAAAATACGTACCCAAAAGCAAAAAATTCAAGTCAAAGTCAAAACTGGAAAACTGGTATCAGCAAGACTTACCCGACTCTGTGAATCTGAATAATGTAATAGAATCTGACACATATAATAACCTGGTTTCAAAAGAAAATCCTATTCAATTTTTCGAATTATTTTGGACTGATGCTTTTTTTGAAAACATAAAAGAACAAACTACATAATATTGTATGCTACCCAGAAAAATGCAAACACATCTTTTACTGTGACCGTGAAAGAACTAAAGGTTTTTTCTCAATTTTGCTAATTTCTGGTTACTCTAAAAGGCCCAGGAAAGATATGTATTGGAGTATGGACTCTGATCTTCTCAATGAAGCGGTTGCTAAGGGGATGTCAAGAAATAAATTCCGAGACATTTTGAGAAATTTGCACTTTGTAAATAACACTCAGCTGCCAGCCAATGACAAATTTGGGAAAGTAAGGCCACTGATCAACCACCTAAACACTGTTTTTCTACAGCATACCCCTCTTACTCAAACCACATCAATATCTGTTGACGAATCAATGGTACCATACTATAGTCACCACAGTTGCAAGCAAAGAATTCAAGGAAAGCCTATTAGATGTGGGTTCAAATTTTGGTCTGCAAATGTATCAAACGCTTATCTTGTGAACACTGAACCATATCAAGGCAAGGAACAATATTAGGAGATAGTGACCTTGGCCTAGGAGCATCTGTTGTTTACACCTTTGCAGAAAAATTGAAACAGCGATTTCCAGATCAAAAATTTAACTTCGTTATAGATAACTTTTTCACGGGTCTTCCACTGATAAATAAATTAAGTGAAATGGATTTTGGATGCACAGGTACGATCCGGCAAAACAGACTAGAAAAATGTCCTCTAAATAAATCTGCAATGAAGAAATCGCATAGGGGTTCTATGGACTCGTACGTTAATTCAACTAAAGAAGTTATTGTTATGCAATGGAAAGATAACTCCATAGTCCATGTTGCTTCAAACTGCTTTGGCTTGCAGCCCACAAAAGCAGCACGCCGTTATTCTGCTGCTGACAAAAAATATATTATGGTAGAGATGCCTCATGCTATTCAGCATTACAATACTAATATGGGTGGTACAGATTTAATGGATAGAAATATTTCTAATTATCGCCCGCAACTGCGTAATAATAAATGGTGGTGGCAAGTTTTTATACATCTTTTATGCGCTTCGGTCTCTAATGCTTGGATCTTATACAGAATCTCAAAAGATGAGAAAAAAAGAAATCTAGTGCTGATGAATTCATGGACAGTTCTCGTTCTCTTGATTTACTTGGCTTTATCAGATACATTGTATCAACATATTTACTTCTGAGTCCCAGAGCACAAAGACAAGACGGAGCTATATTTCTAAAGGTTCCTGAGGCAGTCTCCAAGAATATGTCTGTTTTGCACTACCCAAACTCCATGAAACAAAATAGATGGAAAGTTTGCAAAAAAAAATACTACATTTGGTTGTGGTATATGTATGATTAATGTACATCCACTCGATTGTTTTAAAATATTTCATCAAAGTGCATCTTCGTAGTGTATAAAATAAAAATAAATGTTATATGGATACTTTAGTTTATTTTTTAATAATTAAATGACATCAATTTCCAGCAACGGTGTGCTTCAGACTTGGGCACACTTCAACGGAAACACTTGCGAACCTCCAGCAATCCTACGGAGATAGTGTTTTTGTCAAGAGCCCAGGTTTTTCGCTTTAACTCATTTTCAGAAGCGATAGAGTCCAATGAAGATGAACCACGAAGCGAAAAGCCTTCATCTTCAAGAACCGACAATAACATCGACAGAATCCAGGATATTGTCGTTCAGATCGTCGGTTGACCGTTAGAATGATCGGGGAAGAGATAAGTTTGACTAACACCACCGTTCATTAGATCAGGAACAACTGGGTGGTGCCCCATGATAATGCTCCTTGTTACACAAAAATAAACGAGTGTTTGGTCATTAAAAGCATTCCTGTGGCGCGTTAGATCCCTTATTCGCCTGACTAGAGTCATTGTGATTTTTTTGTCTTCCCGAAGTCGAAAACATTCAAATGACGGTAACCGACCAGCTGAAAGCTATTCCAGTATAGCAGCTCCAGCACTGCTATGAGGAGTGGAAGAACCGTCTCCAGCATTGTACGGCTTCAGGAGGAAGTTATTCTGAAGGTGAAAATATAAAATTGAAATTATATATTGAATAAAAAAATCAAAAAATTGGTCTCATCACTTATTTTACAGACCTCGTATCTATACCATCTACGAGGTTGCAACCTACACGCCATGTTGGCGGAATGTGGTTGCAGAGGTTTAGATAAAACGTCATAGCATCATCTATAACATAGACGGTGTTAGCAGAGTGCTGGATACCTTTGCTGTGGCACAAGCCACGGATATACAGAAACCAATCTTATTCCACTTACAGTTAGATACAAAGCAACAGTACATAAATAATAAAAAGTCCTCCCTCACTCTTGTGTGGGAAGTAGTAAGATGATGTGCCCCCACCATCGAAAACAATATAAACCGGCCTCTAATGCAAGAGCCGCCATACATCAGATAGTAAAATATACATAATTCTCAACCAGCAAGCAAGACAAAGTTATGACAAGGCGGTGAGGACCGTAAATCACATTTTATACGCCTACAAAGGTCAACTACAATAAATATATTTATGTAACTTTATAACAGAACACATGTCGCGGCTTGTATATCATTAGGAGCATAAGAATAACCATGATAATATGAAAAATGAAGCAGGTGGATATTATCATTTTTTTGTTTATTAATGTAGATCGCACATCTCTGTTATTTTTCTTCTTCACTGTCGGATTCCCAGCCCTCGGTCTGGCAGTAGTGTAAGCTAAAGCAAACTAAAATTACAATATGACGCGAGTGTGAATTTTGTAAATATTTGGTAGATACGCCTCGTGGGAGTAACATTGACATCATGATGTTCAAGGACAAGTATCATTTTGACCAGCCAGCCAGCTGTACCAGTACTTTTGGTTGTTGATGTCAATTTATCCAACAATTAAAATCATCAGAAAATAAAAAAACAGGATGTTTGTTCTTAATTTCACCGCCATTGAATGGTAGTCTTGGCTTAAGATTTCAACAAAACTCTGTTAAGGATATTTTCAAAGATATAAAGGGTATAATAGTTAAGATGTTATGCCATTGTAATATTTCAATAAGTAAGATGCTTGTATATGATGAAAAGTTGTGCAAATAATGCCAAAAAACTTGACTGTACACATTTCAAGTGTCTCTCACCTATTTCCAATTTTGCTGGTCATACTGAACTATGAAAAGCTCTTGAGTGTCTTTCCAGGCAAACAGTCAAGTCGATTTCAATGCATTACTGCATTTCATAATAGGGTTGAATTATTTTCCACGGTACTGGCAGGGAAGAATTCCATTGCCCGTCTACAACTTGGAAAGTACGACTCGGCTTTTGATGAAATTTTCACATAAGGTGACTACTACAACAAGGACAAATATAATTTTGAGAATCGCTCCAGCGGCGACAACTTTTTTTGATGTTGCAAAGGTTACTGACGATTTTCAGAAAACTGCAGCAGTTAAAAATTGGGGGTCGGGAATTGAAGAGGATCAGACATATTTCACACATCATAGATTTACCCGTACATTTGTCCTTAAAACTATGAATGATAGAGAAATATTTCCAAACACACGCCTCTTCGACTTTAGACTAGTTGTATCCCAACTAGCAAAGTAGTGCTATAAGCTTTTGGCAAAAGAACCGCTCAGCCATAAAAGCTCTCTATTGTTGTTGCCTTAACACCAAAATGCTGGCTTATTGTTGTGTGGAATGCAAATTTGCTTTCTGCAATATATTTGCTCTAAAATGAGGAGTTTAAAATGTTCTTATAGCATAGTTATACAACACCTTATAGGAAAAATTTTTAACTGTTGCATAAACGTTTATACAACTATTTTATACGGCGTATTTGCACGTTAGCCAAAATGGTTGTGTTGTGTTTACTACTTTTGCCAACAAATTGCTCCCAACGGAATCACTTATACAACTGTTGTTTAGTAACTGTTGAAGGCTGTACATATGCAACAATATTACAACTTTTGTAGTACAGAATTGCGGTGCTCGGCATACATTTGTTGTTAAATATGCTGGTATACAACTTCACCATAACCTAACTTTCTGCTGTCATCTTTTTGTTAAAATGCCATAACCAATGTTTTAAGACAAACACCGCATGCATATGGGTTCAAACTGTTCAAACAGAAGATATAGATCTGGTACAAATTCTGGGTGAATCATTCAAATCTGTGGGTATATTTCATTTCAGATGTTTGTCAAATTTTTGTATAACACCTGCAGGCAACACCAAAATATTTTAATAAACTAAAGACAACATGGACGATGCCATGATTATACACAACCACCCGCCATATTGGGCCAACATGTATTGCTCTATTTAATATTAAATAATTATGTTTCAGTTAGAAATTACAGATATAAAGTGATAAACATTAGTGTAATTGTGTCTAAATATAGGATTTGTGGAAGATTTAACGCAGATGAGGTCAGTTTTCCATCTTAAAAATCTAGACATACTTTTGATCATTATTAAAATATGAATCAAATACGAGGCCCGTAGAAATTGCGTAACTACTTTGCACGATAATCACAATAAAATTTGCTGCGCAAGTAATTCAATAGCCGCCCCATATCACAGTGTAGAAGTTTGTCATATACCTGTCTATGAAATTCACAATGTAATAAAGTAGAATCACGTAACAGAATAGTTGTATAGTTGACAAAAACTGAATCTTGCACTGACGCAAATGTCCTATAGCCGCTGCAAGAGGCTTAGACTTTTGTTGTATAACTGTTACCTGCAGCCCTTATACAACGTCTTAAATGACTGAAGTGTCCTATTAGGTGTGCCCATTCCGCTTGTATAGCTGTTCTAAGAGGGTTTTGCCAATGTTCTTACAGCATACAATGCTGTGTAAGGAATACTGTATAATCATTCTTGCAACTCTAATAGGAGTGATAATTGTTAGTTGGGATGGGTCTGTTTGACTGCTTGATCCATTTAATTTTTTGTTACATGTTCGTAGGTTACGTTCTTTGAGGTACCAGCTTGTGCCGAACATTATGATCAGATGTTGGTCATCATTATAGTTC